GATTAGGCATTAAGAAAAACTTTCCATTGATAAGACTAATGAAGCACTAGGATGGAGTGCCTGGGGACTGCAAGTCTCTCTTATTGGAGTCTGTAAAAGCAGCCGAGACAAAGTCGGCAGTGATTTAGGGGCAGATGCTGATGGCTTCGGGCAGGTGCATGGACTGGATGTCTCTTAAAGCCCAAGCTCCTGGAGGCATGTGATTAGATGGAAATTTCAGCTTCTATTAAAGAAAGAGAAATGGTCCCTCACCCTCACAGTTGTAAGGAAGCACCTGCAAACCTGAGCTGGATTTGGTGTCAGCAGAGAACCTGAAAGATCACTCCAAGCCGAGGAAATCCAGATTTTGGTATCAGGGTCCACTGCCTGAACGTTGGGGGTAGAAGGTGATGTTATCCTAAGAGCAAAGAGGAGGGAAAAAACTTCGGATATATCCAATGATCAGGGAGCAGAAGCTGCCCTCACATCTTCTCCTGGTGCTTCATGATCTTTCCACGTTCCTGCCTGTGCCCCCGTGTTTTGATTTTTGGTCAGCATCCTTGGGAAGTCAGCACAGCCTTGGTCCAGCAGAAGCCCCGCTGTCCCCCATCACCTTTATGACACTCGTTTTGGTCAGTTCAGTGGAGATTTAGAAGCAGGGAAGAGATCGCTGAGGTCGTCTCGCCTACTGCCCCTGTGGGCCAGTGCGAGGCTGCTCTCTTGGAAAGGGCTTTAGTTAAAATAATAATTAAGGCAGAGGATGGAAACGGGAGATGCAGACCTGTTAAGGGTAGTGCTGTCCTTACCGTGTCCCTTTTCCATTTTAATTGCCTTGGAAAAAAAGTAGAATGGCAGGCCTTTAAAAGCTCTGATTCTTCCTGCTCCTCGCCACCCCCCTGCACCCACCCGGATCTTGGAGGCATCAACTCTCATCTGTCAAAGTGTAAATCAGCAATTAAAACACAAACAGCGAAATGCCAAAGATGACCCGAAGCACAAAGCAACTGACAAACAAGTCCGGACAAATCGGCGGATAATTTATAAGCATTGCCCTAAAATCTAATTATTTGGCAATTCGAATTTGCAGCCGGCCAGGGCTGTGCAATAAATTTAACCCGCCATAAATTATTTAGGAGCAGCCCGTGGTGTAAATCAAAACCACGAGTGTTTGTTTAAGAAATAAGCTTCTTGTGCATAAAACGACTTTTTGTTTTTCAAGAGGGGACGAGAAAAAATGGCTGAAGGAAATGAGCTGTGCTGAGCCTGTGTGCCCTCCCTGGGACCCCCTCGTCTGTCCTGCCTGCACCTCTTTGGAAGTGTAGTGTGGTCTTTGGGAGGGTGTTTTATGCTTTTCCCTACCGGAAAAAATCCTCTTCTCTCAAAGGCATCTGCTTGTTTTTATTGCGTTTTGAATAGTAGGCTCTGATTTTTATGGGCATCTTTTATTCTCGTGTTTATTAAACTTCTTCACAGATGGGGGTGGGTATAAGGGATAAATTATTCCCTGGTAGTTTTAGGATGGAATTGTCCACACGGTCTTCCTCAAATACATAAATCAGCATCCTGGAGTATGCCCTGTCCTCAGCTCACATGAGTCAGAGGGCTTTGAGAGCCAGGGAGTTCAGCAGGGCACAGAGTATGTGTAGTCCTGCTGGATCACAGAGCAGTGAGCAAAAAAGTTCTGCTGTGGGATGAGTGCAGCTTTCTTTGCTGAACCCCAGAGGTCTCGTTGCTTCAAGGAGATGCTGCGCAGGTGTAGTTGCCTGCTTGTGCAAAGCTTTAGTTGTCAAGAAAATTGAGAGAGCCGCATCCTTGCCCTCTGTGCTGTGGTGTAGCAGGGATGGGAGCTGTATTTAAGGCGGCTGGGCAGGGAGAGGCTGGTTTTATGGCACTGATTCTGCGTGGCCTCATGAATTTTTCAGATCCCTTTGAAAGGGAAGTCCAGCACTGCTGGGTAGTGCCCTGCGGATGGCCCGGCCGCACTGCTGGCACCCAGCACCTCTTCTCAGGGAATGTTTAAAGAAACAAGGCAAATCCGAGCCAGCTGTCACATAGATTTGTTTGAATTACCACGAAATCATAAAGGCAAGGTTGTTGTAAAGAGTGTGGGCTGGGTAATGGATCTGTGTAAGCCTGCGGCTCTGCAGGTTCTATTGTTGCAGAGTTTGGGGAGCAGCAGAGGGAGGGACAGGGTGCCCGTGTCTCTGTAAGCGCGTTAGTATTGATTTTGGAAGCGCTGTGTTCTAACAATATAAATGCAAATGCCCGTAATTGGGCGCCGCACGCAGAATTTCCCCACACAAACCATATTCAACTTTTCACCGCGCGGAAAGGAAAATAAAAAGCTGCTTATTTATTGCCGGCGGTTTGAATCCCGGATTTCCTTTCAAGTTACTTCGCAGTGGTAAATAAAAGCCCCTAATTGCGGCGCTCGCAGAATTCAAATGGGGGCATTTGTTCTGCTGGGAGCTCGTGGCTGTGGGCCCCTCCGGCATTGCTGCGGCACAAACAGGGTGCTGGGTGGGGGAAATGGCAATGTGTGAAGCAGACAGGGATGGTCAGAGTGATGGGAAGGAAAGAGGGAACTTCAGTAAGGCTCTGCCTTAGGTTCCCTGTTCTGCTCTCTGTTCTTTTTCTCACCTGGCCAAAGCACTGGGTGTAGGGATGGAGCTTACCGGGCTGCTGGGAGGTGTGTGTGTGTGTTAGGGCTCACCATTTCATCATAATTACTAATGAAATCCTAGATCTGTAATAACATTTTGGATATCTAAAACAAACCATATGCTTGTTAAAAAAAAAAAAGGGGGGGGGGAGAAAAGTGGCAACAGATCAACTTGAAGCCATAAATTCTTGGTAATAGAGGCCTCCTTTTTCTTTCCCTTTCTGTTTATGTTTGATAGATATTTTTGTTTCTGCAGGAATGTCAACTCTTAATTTCATGATGTATCATGGGCTTAAGAAAATTGAATTTAATAAAGGCAAAAGATGAATGGCACCTTTAAAGGTCCCAACACTTGTCTTTATTAGCAGGACAAACTGCAGGGTCTCCGAACACTGCTTCTCTCCAAATGAAAGTTTAAATGAAAAGTACAGCAGTGTCACAGGTTAAATTTCATTGCAGGACTGGCTAACGTTGTTACTGAGGAGTGGGGCTGATTTCATGGGGCCGGGATCTGTTGCCTTAGATACCGACGGAGCAAACACTGCCAGAGCCTGGAAAAATCTCCACTATAGGAAGCGTGCAGATAAACAGCCTTTGGGGAACACTCCTTTACCACTTGCTTAAAAATGGACCGAATAAGCCCTGAAGAGCTGCTGCTCTTTCTCTCAAGCTGAAGTTGCTCTGCAGGTCCCACCCCGATTGCCTGGCTGTGTGCTTCCCCAGACCTGTGCTAACGGTGGACGTTGTTAAATTTTCCACATTTTTAGTAGCATTTAGTTTTTATTTCCTCAGCCTATTTTAATGTGACCCTCCTGGCAGTGCTTCCTGCTGTCAGTGCTGGAAGGTAGTGCCTTTGTGCATCCCACCACTCCGTGGCCCTTTGGGACTCCGTGGGTGCTCCGCTGCCCCATTCAGCTGTGTCTTCATCTAGCCTAACTTTCTCCAGTTCAGTGTGGGGATGCCACATGGCCGTGGCCAGCGCCTTTGGCTGCAGTGAGGCAGTGCTCAGCCCTTCCCTCTCTGCGTCGTCCTCCCTGTCCCTTCTCAGTAGTGGGATCCTCGGGTCCTCCCGACCCTTCAGTGGGTAGCACAGCACTGGGAGAGATGCTCCCAAAGCTGCTCTGCGTGCACAGCTGCCCCTGTGAGGCTATCTGACTGCCTGCTGCCTTCCTCTGTGCACTCAGCACTGCATACACTTGGTTCCATTCATTTCTCCAACCTGCAGGCACGTGCCCCTCACAGCACGTCCTGCTCAGGGCCAGATACCTCTCCTCCCAGAGACACGCTGGGTGTTTTCTAGTTACATTATTTGTTGTTTCCATTTACCCACCCACTGCTGTATCATGATGTCATCAACTTACATGTATGACCTCACGTTAATTTCCCTTTGCAGGTCACAGGGGTTGCAGTCAGAGTCCAAACCGGTGTTAGTTCCTCTGCAGTGACTGCACTTCCACATGCTAATTTTACTCACAGGAGTTGTATATATACATATATATTATTTTTTTTGTATTATTTCTTATTTGTCTCTTCCAGATGTTTTCAGGCAGTTTTTTTTTTCGTTGTTGTTAAACTAATTCCATTCATGTTTTAAAAATTTATGAAAGCGCTAATAAAAATGTCAAAGTGGTAAAAATGTTAGCTTTTGCTCTGCTTTGATTAAATTTTGCAAACTGTTTTTGAATATTAAAAAGCAATATTTTTTTTTATTCTCTCTCCCCCTCTCCGTTTCTCCCCAGAAGTGATTTGAGAGGCTCGGTGCGTGGATATCACTCAGCAGGCTCATTTGCACTCCAGAACCTCGGTGCCATGCATCTCTATTAAATAACATAGACAAATTATTCTTTAAAGACGCCAAACAAATTGTCGCTTCTCCTCTTGCATTAAACTGGAAGGAAGAGAGGGAGTGAAGAAGGAGGGCTGCAAACACAAAGGATTTTATCGCTTTTATTTGGCGGTTGGCTTTTTTAATTTCATGTATATTTTTTAATAATTGTGAAATCCATCGTAGCGGGATTTGTTTAAACTTTTTATTAACAGGTCCATGTAAATTTTTGATTGTTGATTATTCAAATAATTGAACATTCTTCTGATGAAGAACGTTTTTATTTCCCAATCAGCATAAGTTGTCTGCAAAGAGGAAAATGAAGCAGGGGATGCTGCTGTGCTGTGTTCCATGGCAGTGGTTTGGGGGGGGGGCTCCAGTCCCTCTCCTCCCACTGCAGTGTTCCTTGTGACTCTGATTTCACCTCTCCTGGGCTCCTGCATCCTAACACGGAGCTTTGTGTTGGGCTTGGCTCTCTTTGGGGCTTCCATTTATTTGGTTTACCTGAACAGCTTCTCTTCTCGCCCCATTCAGGAGATCATCGAATTCCCTATCCTGAAGCTGAATGGAAGGACGATGGAAATTGAATCCACCTTTCACATGTATGTTCAGCCTGTGGTGCATCCCCAGCTTACGCCCTTCTGTACAGAGGTAAAGTGCAAAGGTTCCCTGATTCTCTGAGTCCCATGGGGAGCAAGTTTCCATTGCACCAGGGTTGGGGCCCCCTGCTCACAGTGTCCTGCCTCGTGTTGAGGACACTTGAGGACAAGAAGGGGATCTTCTTATGTCATTGTAGCAGCGTGTAGAGGTCTCTCTTTGGGTTCATGAATTGTGATCATTCAGTTATGACCTGATAGCTGACATTGGTTCTATTTAAACTAATGAATGTATTCCTGGGTGACCACAAAACAAAAGCATTGCTGTTGTGTAATCTACGAAACACTGGCAGCCTCCATGTAAACTCTCTGGGATCTTGCTGTTCTGGTTATTGATGGGAGAGGTCACAGAGAGCATCAACACAAAAGTTTTTAAGTTCTTTTTGCTTTGGATTTTTTTCCTATTCCTCCACTGTTTTAATGTTATCCAGGTTAGCAACTAAAGCACTGACTGTGGGATTAGGGTATCCAGGCTTTTGTTCCATCCCGGTGTCACCCAGCACCACTGGCACTGTGGTATTTTCTCCCTTCTGTTTGGCTGCATTCTCCTTTGACAAGCTTGTCCTGCATGTAGTGTCTGGTTCCAGGTGACTCCTGTCTGTGACGTGGAGCCATCTTTAGGACCAGTCAGCCTCTTCTATATTTGCACGTTGTTTAAACATACACACACATTCACACTTCTTTTTTTGTTTTTCCTGTAGCTAAAAACCAGCTAAAGGTATTTTATTTAAACTAAAAGAGGTAAAAAAAAAAATAAAAAACTAAGCTCAGAGAACATTACTCCCAGGAGAGGGGCTTTCAGAAGGCCCTGTTTTCACACATTTATAGCTAAATTGGAAGCATTTTTGCAACCTTAACATGAGAAGGCTGGACAACTACTTGGGCTGTGCCTATGCACAGGAGACTTGCTGGACGTATGCTGATACAGTTGTCTGCTGTGATAGATCTCACAGCTTGCACCTAAGAGCAATGTTCCCTTCTAGAGTAAGGCCTGGAAGGTAAGTGCTGCGTGTCATTGGATTTCTAGAGAAGTCATCTCACTTATTCACTCCTACTGACATTCCCTTTCCTAGCAATTCCTCTGTTGCAACTTCCCCCACCTCAACACATTTATCTCTTGCACTGCTTTTTGCAAAGGCTCTATAGAGACCTATGGGGTTTGGGAAACATAGGCAGCCCCAGGAGGAGCCCCAGCTGTGATGTGTATTCCATTCCAGCTCAGCCCCTGCCTGCACAGCTCTAGCGTTCACCATCAGCTTTCAGCTGGTTTTTGTTGCCTGAAAAATATCCATTTTGCTAAATGCCAGTAAAGGGCTTTGTCTAGGCACCTCTACTTACAAAGGGTGAGATTTATTGGCTTCTTTGTCTACAAAGAAAGACCAGGCCTGATTATCAGATTGTACACCAGAGACAAGTGTTTAGGTAATCAGCAAACTGTCTTGGAGTAGAAATACGATGGTTTCTCAGATAAACTCTGGTGCAAAAGCAGAAGTGTTGACACTGCATGGAAACCTGACTGCCCTGCTTCTGCTTTCCTTTTCCCCACCTATTGCTTTGCCAGAAGGTGATTGCACTGCTCAGTAAGGAGTGTGTGTTTGAGGCTCAGCAGGGCCACCCAATGTTTTTCTTCTGGTCTGGAGCATCTCTCACACTCCTCTTGCTGAAGAAAGCAACGTGAAAAGAGTTTCTGCAAGGGCAAAGGGCTTGCAGTCACCTTCAGGGCATCTCTCTGCATAGGTTTTGCGGTGGCTGAGCTGAACCCCGGCTTCAGAAGGTTCCTCCAACCTCCCACACCACTGCTGGGAGCATGCCTTCCACGCTGCTTTGTTCTGTTGCCCTGCTCTGATCCCATATCTCTTGGCAGGACATGAACTGTAAGGATTGGTTCGGGTGTCAGGCAGAGAAAGTGGGGGAGAAAAAGCTCCTTCTGCCCTTTTGGAAGATACAGGTGGTTTGATGCCCAGGAAAGCTCATACCAGGAGCTGAAATGACAGGATCCCTCTATACATGAGGTGCTTGTTCAGGCTTTTTCATGGTACTTTGCTCTCTTTTTATGATTAATTTTTATTGATTTTTTTTTTTTCCTGAAGGAACAGACAATAAAAGTACAGAAAGATAAATGCCTTATCGCTTGTTTATGTTCCCAAATACCATGTGCTTCTTGGAATCGCCAGTGAAACTTTACAATGGTGCAATTTGATGTTTTTATATTTTATCAGAAGCATGAGATCAGATAATACTGCAGAAAGCCAGTGCACCTGGGTGGGTGTTGCAGGTGATGTACGTAACTGAGAGCAGAAAGCTGGTCCCCTTTGCTCAGTCCCTTTGGTGATGAATTGTACCTATCCTTCAGGCACTTCCTGCGGTCGGGCTGCCTCTGTCCTCCTGTGCCAGGCAGATGTGTGGGGAGAGGCAGCGAGGAGGGGAAGAAGCCAGCCAGTGTGCTTTAAAAACCACTATGAAGATCTGCATGCTAATCTCCTAAATCTATTTGCCTCTTAGAATATGGGAAGTCTGCAGGCACCAGCTGTTATCCAATTAAAATACAGATTAATATGAAAACAGTTTCTAGGATATGAGTGTCTGTGTCCCTACACTTCCTTAAAATTCCACCTTATAATGACTTGATGAACTTGAGAAACCCACCTAGAGGAACTCTGCATTCTTAAAATTAGAATACTTTCCCTAAAAGGTATATATTACTGTTCCATGGAAGTCACGATGAGAAAATAATCTTTTCACTTGCAGCTTATTCAGTGAGTCAGGTATTTGGTATTCATTAAATGCAATTACAGTTTAATTGGAGTTTAATCTTTTTTTTTTTCTTGTTCCCCTTCTTCTGAGTTCAGTGCTGTAAACCAAGCAGCCAATGGAACAGAGAAGTAAAGCAGTAGAGCTGCTGCCAGCTGCCATGTTGTAGCAGAGCCCTGTGGTTTATGCTGAGACGTTCTGTGCAGGAGGCCATGCTGGTCTCCTGCAAAGTGCCAGATGAAGGGAAATACTGGAGTGTGCACTTGTTATAATAATGATTTTTTTAATTACTTGGGTGCATTGATGGCAAGCTACTGACCTCCAATATTCAATATGTTAAAAGACGGTTTTGTCAGTTGGAAGACAGACAGAAAAATTATCTGCTTTTGTGTGCCTCAAGCTATCACAGGTGGAGGCCCATGAGACCACATCTCTCTGTGCATATGCCTACCCTTCAGCAGCCAAGCCATCCTGCTGCAGTGGTTTACTGCCCAGCACAGGGAATGAATGGATTCCCAGCAGTTCCCACTGAGTGATAGTGTGGTCTCATCCCAGTACCAGGGGCATGCCCAGAACCCCCAGTAGAGCTCATCAGAACAGGAATAACTGGGAAAGGGCAGCTTTGGGACACCATGTCAGACCATGCAGTGGCACTACTGCTCCCCGAGTGCCTCCTGCCCCATTGGGAGTTCATTGTTCTGTGATGGGGGGTGGGCAGGAGCCCTGTACTTCTCTGTGTTTGGGATGGAGCTCTGCCCTTGCCCGTGGCTCTGCTATGGCTGATCCCTCGACAGTGCCCACGCAGGTCACAAGAGCATGTTTTGGTTGCAGGGAGATGGACAGCAGAGGAGACCTTTCTAATGATCTTTTGAGTGCTGCTCTGATGGCTGCTCTCTGTTTGTCTCTCATTTCAGCTGACTGGGATTATTCAAGGCATGGTGGATGGGCAGCCGAGCCTCCAGCAAGTGCTTGAGGTAAGCAGAGTAACCTTTATTTCCTGAACTCTGACCTCTGGTCCTGTCGTCTCCTCTTCATCTCCTTCCCTGCACCCTCCCCTCGCTGAGAATCGAACCGCGTAATTTGACTATGATTACAGCTTCATTAGAATAACATTTGCTGTCATGTCGGTGACACGCTGCTGAGAGTATTGAACCATTGATCTGTCATTTCCAGCTGCTCATGTCAAGGGTACTGACAAGATATCCAAACTCTTGCCAGTAGATAGGAGAAGAGGCGATTCTTGCTTGAGCCAGTTTTAAAGGACCGAGGCGTTGTTTGAGACCGCTGCTCTGGAAGCTCTGTCTTTTTTCCTTCCTCTCCCTCAGCACTTTATTAAATTAATTTTTTCTACCTATTTAAATGCTAAATAATACACGTAGCATCGAAGGAAAATGCCTCTAAAATCTAATCTGGAGGATTTGCAAATGCAGATATAGCCCTAATAATGCCATCTGCTTAATGTTGAATTCCTACAGCATTTAGAGCTTAATTAGCTTGGAAGTGTTTCTCCATCAATAGCTTTTGTTGGTAGTCAAATAATGAAGGAAACCTCCCCAAGCAGAGCCCTCTCAGGCTGCAGGTTGCTGCTCAATGCATTGTCTCTGTCAGGATTTCCACTGCTGTGTTACCTAATTGTTTCTAATCAGAATAATTGTAACAATTGCTTATGTGAAGAAATCAAATTAAAGGCTTTAAAATCCTCCATGGAGACAGCACTTCATGGGCACTCGCATAAGAGTTCAGCAGGGTTGCAGTGGGAGCTTTGCTGCCAGATCCTGGAGGAGCAGGTCCTTGTGGGGTGGTTCTCCCAGGAGGGCTGTCCTAGCTGGAATGAATGTCGTCTTAGGGGGTTTAGCTTAGGTTAATTCTGCCTGGTTACTCCCTAAGGTGAGTGTGCATCCTCCAGATTATTGTGGCCCATTTCTGAAGTGGATCCAGAACATCTGTTCCTGTGGGAAGTTTATTGGGAATATGGACTCACTTGAAACCCATGCTGAATGAATTGTAAGGAGCAAGGAGAGACCAAACCTGGGAGTGGAAGGGGGAACGCCTGCCTTTGGCTGTGTCTGTTGCAGTGTTCAGATGTACCCAGTCCTTTGTCTCTCTCTCTCTCCCATGTCCTTTGTGTGGAGTGGAGTGTGTGAGTAATGCTGTGGGTGACGGACACCATCCCAGGATGCTTGCATTATCCCGGATATTCCAGCAGGTAGTCAGAAGCTCCTGCTCAGATTTGTTTGGCTGCCTCATTCCCTTCAGCTTACAGCCTGATGCCTGTGGGGCCATCGTGGAGCCTTCTGCTTTGGCTTCTCTTGCCCTCCCCCAGATCACAGTGGAGTGCTTCAAGAAATAAGTGCATTCTTCTTGGCTGAAGGGGAAACAGGTTGAGGTCCCTGCAAGCCCATTTGGTACAGGGAGAGGAGAAGTGCAGGAATGCCAGGTAAAAGCGCAGCTGTGTTGTCCCGTTAAGGCTGCACAACTTCCATCCCTCTGTGAGCAGAGCAGCTGTGGTGCCTGATAAGATCATCTCCGCTCTGGTTGCCTGATGTCTCCTATCAGAAATCTTCAAAGGTCCAAACGTGCTGTTGTTCAGATGGCAAGCAAAAAGAGAAGAGAGAGAGGGAGAGGGGTGGATAAGATCACAATTTTCTTCTCTCTTGATTGCAAGCAGCTTATCTGAGTTTAACTGTTGTGGCTCGGCCTGTCTCCGCAAAACTCATCCCCTTTTCTTGCCTTCCTTTCAGAGGGTCGACGAATGGATGGCAAAGGAAGGACTCTTAGATCCCAGCGTCAAGTCGATTTTTGTGACCTGTGGAGACTGGGATTTGAAAGTGATGTGAGTATGGAAAGGGAGGGAGGTTTTTCTGGGCTTTATTGCTCCATGCTTGCCTGTAATGTGGATATCTTTGTCCTTACAAGCCTCCGACTGTCCCCAGTCTTTATTTTTCAGGGAAATCGTTGTTCGCCGTGCATAATTGGGAGTGGAGGGTTGTTTAAGAAACAGGTAGGTGCTAGGCATAGTGCCAGATCGTTGCCCAGGATAATCTCTGTAGAAATGAATCCTTTCATAACCTCGAGAAAGGTTTAAACTGGGGTTTTGTGATATTTCCTGTTTTTAGCCAACATGTTTTCCAAAGGGATGGTCATCCCTAAGCATACAAATGAAATTCCATTTCTGAACACTCAAATCAAGCAGTAGTCTTTACCTGACTTTGGCATGCAGATCCTTTGTCCCTGTCATCTTGGCACATTAACTGGATGTGAATTAAAGTAGTCTTTGGGAAGAGAATACAGGCCAAGTCTGACATGCTTCATCGTTCTTTTGTATCACTGAGGTCATGCTCATGAGTGGGTGACTGGCATTTAAAGAGTACCAGGTAGGGACCTGCACTGAGGTCTACAATTGCTGGTGTATATGCATGTTTTCTCATGTAAACAGCTAGAGCAGCAACCCAGAAAAGTGATTTTGAAGAAATGAAGTTGTGCCTAAGAATGAAATTAACCTAACCTGTAAGATATTTGCAGAGTATTATCATACTGCGCTGAATTCACCTGGATTGCTGTAAACTTGCTTCAGCTTTTCATTTCCTCAGAGTGCTGGGTAAAGGCTCCTGTTGTTATCACATCAGTAAAGCTTGGACTTGACACATATGAAGCTAAGCTGACATCCACAACTCGTTAGTAATGTTACTTGGTGTTCACTGTGACGTTGGTTTCCACAAGCTGGAAGCCTAAATAAACTGCACACAGCCAGGGAGCAATCAGCACCGGTTTCTTCCCTGCAGAGTGGTCTTTGTAGAGTGGCAGCTCCTTGCTTCCACATGGTATGATTAGTGAGGCATGAGATACGGAGATTGAAGCAGCAGCACAAGCGCTGGTGGAGATGAGGAATTTGCCATGCTCTTTTGAGTCAGAATTTGCTGGGACTCTGCTGGGGTCATGACCAGAACTTGTATATGAGTATATTGCCAATTCTTTTGTCACTAGTTTAATGTGTTTTTCTTTGAAAATTGTACTTAAACATTTGTTAGAGTCCAACACAAAGACATCTGCAGAGATGTGCTAAACATCTATTTCCAATCTCTTCTCTTTTCTTGGCACTTTCCTTCTCTGTTGTTGTTTTGAGAGTCCAGTTTACTGCTTTTGGTGATGGTTGTGAGGAACAAACTGTGGTTTGCTGTGTCTCAAAGCCCATCTTTCCATTCCCTTCACACCAGGCTAATAAGGATTCCAGATAATGACATCATAACTCAGTGTCTGTATGAAATAGACAACCTTTTGCATTTTTCTCTTTCATCAGAAGCCAACAGTGGGGAAATGTAGTGAAGATGAGCCCTGTTTCTAGTGAGCCATGGGGACTGTGGGGTGAGCTGAGCCAGCAGGACACGCAGCTCTGGAGCCCGGATACTTGATTCACCATTTGCAGCGGTCTTTTGCATGGACTGTGCCTCACTAGTCAGCTGGAAAAGAACACTCCACTCCTGGCCATGAGGCTGCAGTGAGTGGTTCATTTCTCCCTCTTCCTTTTAAAAAAATGTTTTAAACCATTAACTTCAGAATTCAATCCTGAAGCGTCTCCAGGGCAGAGCAGAAAATACATTTCATGTTTCCAACCACAGATACGGGGAGCCTGGCTGCAGCCGCTCAGCGAGTAGCGCATCGCACTGCTCCGCCACCGATTGGGTGCAGCAGCGTGCAGCGTCACATCTGATTAGCTCCATGCCAGTGAATGAGGCTTGAGTGAGGACTCCCTGCCAGCTCTGACTTGTCTCATTTCCCATTACTTTTATCCATCACCACAAATGCCGAGTCTCCCTCCTAAACTAATTAAGTTTGCGTGTGTTTAGACACATTGCCAAATAGGGTTTAGCAAAGCAGAACTGAGCATCTCTTTTTAAAGAGGGAAGGCGCAGAGCTGAAACAAGGCTGCTTAGACAGGGAGAAGCATCCTCAGAGAGGTGGAACATCTAGGAAATATTCCAGGGAATTACCTTGTGCTTCCCTAAAAGACTTGCAGTGGTGCTGGTGCCCTGTTCTACCAAGTGGAGTCCACGCGCTTGGCGCTGAAGGTACTGGGACAGAGAGGGGAGGTGGTGCTACTTGCCCAGGTTTGGAGGAACGTGTTCCTGGAAGCATTGCATGGTGAAAATCCCATTGGATTCTAGAGTTCTGGAGCAAGCTGTGTTCCTTCTACCAGTGTCTTGTGTGGTTTGTAGTTCCTTGTCCTTAGGTTGGCTGTTGGTAGAAAACTGTGCAGCTTTGTTCCTGGCTTCTCCAGCAAAGACTTGGGCATTGCTTGGCTTCAGTCTACACGTGCTGTTCTACATGTACTGGGGAATGATGTCTTCTGGACAGGCCTGTCTGCTTGTGGGTGCTTCCAGCAGGTGCCAGGGCACCAGGAAGCACACAGATGAGCATATTAAATTTGGGGTGTTGGCTGAGTCACAGAGGAGGGTTTAGCAGCCTGTCACCATCCAGTGGTGGATGTGGGGACAAGGTGGGTAAATAACCCTGTCAAAGCCAGGAGTTGCAGCATGCATAGTACTCAGCTGAGAGAAAAGTGCAAAAGGAACAGTGTTTGCCAAGGTGCAGAGCTCTGATGAGGGTGTCTAGCAGCATTCAAGATGGACGTTCAGCTGCTAAAGGACCTGTGAAGCCTCTGCTTGTCTTAGGAGTCTTCAGAGAATGAGGTGCTTTGTGGCTGCGTGCTTGACTTTTCTTGAACATCTGAGTTTCCTGGTAGATCACAGAGCTGTTTCTACCTGGCTTCCCTCTGAGCATCAATCACAAGGAGCCAGGAAAAGGACATGCACCTGGGAAGGGCTCGTGGAGGCACCAGTTGAGGTCCTCCGCCCGGCTACTCATAGCTTTGTCGTGGTCATGGAGCAAAATACAAAAGAAAGTCACTGCTGGAAGATTTGGCTGCTGCTGCTAGAGAGAGGGCTCTGAAACAGAGTGCTGCTGGCTGCCGGCTTTCAGCTCTGAGCCAGGCTGGAGTCGGGGAGACAGCAGCTCTCCTGCCACCCCTCCCCTTCCTTCTTGTTAAGATGCAATTTCTTTAATGAGGAAAACCTCTTGAGTAGGAACATCACCTTTCTGAAGGCATGTCCTGACAAGGCAGTTCAAGCCGACAGAGTCGCATCTCAGCTTCAGCAAATATCAGTCACTCATTACAGAGACTTCTCCCCTCCACCCCCCAGCAGCACCCCTCATTCCCAGACAAGGGAATGAATCACACTCCTGCTCTTGAATACATCATGACAGTCGTGGGTCTAATGAGAGAAGGCCATTCATTCTGGGTGGAAAGTTCCCTGTGCCGACACAGAAATGTTATTAATTAAAGAGAGCTACCTGAAGCAAAAGATGAAAGGAGCACCAGACCTGCCAAGCTAAAATATGAGTTGGGATACAGCCTCGTTAGGCACACGGTCCTCGGGCACAGCGGGAGGATTCCTTCAGCCTGTTGCAAGGAGCTCTCCTCCAAGTTGAAAAGCTCCGGGGCTGGATTCAGACCCAGCTTTAGTGCCAGAACCTCGTCCTGCACTCAGGTGGAACTGCTGCTGGTGGTTAAACAAATCACATTGATGTGGCATTGAGTGGTGAGGGTAACGTACCCCTGAAGGGCTGAGGGAGCCGCTGACTGCAGGAGATGATTTTAGCGGAAAAAGAGGCTACTCGGAGTCTGCCGAGGTTGAGCCCTTGTGTTGTAAGCTCTTTAGTGTGGTTTCTCTTTTCTGAAATGTCAGATTGCCTCCCTCCGTGTGTGGAACCATTTTGCCCGCTCTGTAAGCACAATGTGAATTAATCTTGGCAACCAAAGGAATGTTTTCACTCTGTGTTCCTGCTACAGAGCTGAGACACAGCGCGGGTAGGTGATAGGCCTGTGGTCACGCGTGCATCGTACATATAGGCAGAGGCAGGGAAAGGAGCTGTAGCCACATCTGGTGAGCCTCAGAGCTGCACCTTAATGTCAGAAGCACAAGTCAGTCCTTCTCCTTCCAGGTTTGGATCATTCTGCAAATGCAGCAGAAGAGTAAAAACATGTGTAGGCTTTGCTCTGTGTACCTGCAGTATGAAGATGTTTGTACTGCATTTACTGTGGCTGATCACAATGTGCTAATTTATTTCTTTACTGGAAACTACTACTCAATTGTTTTTTATTTTCCTAAATAAGTGTTAAAATGCTAGTACTCTCTAATGCGGTGATACAACATTGTGAAGTATCTTGAAATGTTTATAGCCCTTGGTGCTCTTCCTAGGTTGCACATTAGTAAATTCTGAGCAATGAATTATACCACTGCTTAATTCACTGTTACTCTTTTAGCCCTTCCTGTGCAAGTGGCACTGGCTGGGAGGACACTTGCCTTCTGATACCAGCTCAGAGTGTGTCAGTAGGTTGGTCTTTCTGTCCTTCTGTCCTGACAGTTTGGTTTGGGATCAGCATTAGGTCATGAAGAAGATGAAGAATCAATGGTGTTGGTGTCCCTTACGCATGCTCTTCTTTATCGCAGTAACAGAAGAGGGTCAGCAGTCTCTGCATGGGGCAGAAGTTGCAGGCAGCCCCTGAGTTGGGTGCCTGGGGCTGCATGGATAGCTGTGGGGAGAGGAAGGAGAAGGCATAGGGTGAGCTGGTTAGTTGACAGCATTGCAGGAGCTAGGTTCAGAGAGTGGCTTTGAGGGAAGAGCTGGTAACAGAAATGTAGTAATCTGCCTTTAAAAATAAGACAGTAATTCCAAATAAAATCTTTGGATTAGCTTTTTTGTTACTTTAATGCAGATTGTTTTGCTGACCAAGCCTATGATATATCCTCTGACGTGGTTATATTGGCTCAAGAA